CACTCTCTGTACTTCTAAGTTAGTTCTGTAATGTATGATCTTATTTCTATATTTATATTTTACATCTATGTATGTTTCACTTCTTCCATTTTTGTTTTTATTCGCATTGTACTCTTATCTATAATCTCTTAATTCTATTTTATATGTATATGTATATATTCATAATTTAATATTTCATAGATATAGTATTTTTCCCTTGTATCCATCCATATTTTCAAATTCAGTAAATTCAGGTCAACAAAATTCCCCAATACCTATCCTTATCCTTATTTTCCAATTGAAAATTGAAAGTGAAACTTCTAGCTGGACACATCTTTAAGTCTCTATTTTTATTTTATATACTTATTTATTCGTCGTAAACCAACGACTGCCTGTCCTACAGTTTCCTTTAATAATACTCCACTTATCCCTGTTGAGCAAATCTGATACCTAGGACACCACCTGGACAAACGACTAACTTGGAATCCTCATACTAGACTGAAACGACAAGAAACCGCTCGACGTTTCCGATTACTTCAGCATTTACTAGACAAATGCTATAAACTTCCCATTAATTACAAAAGACTCATATACTTGACTATAATAAGACGTATTTGGACTTACGGAGTTGAGCTATGGGGCTCCACTAAACCATTGAATTCCTCTCGCATCCAATCCTTACAATCCAAAATCCTTCGTAAAATCCTCAATGCTCCTTACTTTGTCACTAATAAAATTATCCATAAAGATCTTAATGTTCCTAATGTTTCAGATCTGGCCCAATCCAGATACCTATCCTTCCATAATAAATTTCAGAATCATCCCAACCCTCTCGTTTCTAACCTTGCTTCCTCTTCAATTCCTGATAACCCTCCGAGGCGTCTGAAAAGAAGATGGCCCCGTGATCTCCTAATGTAGTCATATCATTAGAGTGCTACCATTGGGTAGTATTTCAGCAAGTGTATTCATGTCATTATATATATTATGTCCAAATTTACTAGATGTTTAATACAGTTGTAAATGTCATTAAGAAATAAAAAAATATATATACTTATTATTTATTTATGGTTTTCTTTTCTTTCTCCATATTCCTATATGTTTATTATTTCATATTATATCCTTTTTCCTTCTTTTTCAATCTCTCCTGTAGATCTGTAGAAGTATATTCACATTTGCATATATTATATATTACACTATAACAATTGTTACCATCTATTTACTTCAGTTTAGGATCTTGTTACTTAGCTTACTCTTTTATATTTTAATGTAATTACTGTTTACAATTTTAATAAGCTTATTCACATTGTTTATAATTTTTTTTCTAAGTATTATGTAACTTCTCCAATTCTCTATATATTTTGTATCTTTTGTCCGTTCTAGCCCTGAAGAAAACCTGCAAAGTCGGGTCGAAACGTTGGCTTTTAATAAAAATATTTATAAATTGTAATAGTAATAAAAATTTCCAAAAAATATTTTTCCGTATTTATATTGGTTTTGTAAAAAAAAATCTATTTAACAATACAAAGTTTGGCCAACTCACTTTTTTTCCCCCGACTTAAGAATGCACCACGGCCTCAAGAAGGCCTATTGTTCGTCATCCTGGACTCAATTTTGGACTTATTGAAACAGACCAGTTGCCTTTGCGAACCTGTTAATACTAATAGGATCAATTAGTTCGCAGTGCTTAGGGTCAGTGATACGATCACATCCAAAGTGAAAGTATCGCAGTCTAGCCAAATTATCATATCTACAAATAATGTCATAGGCCGTTTCATCCTGCAGGTGGAGGTCTCACTTACACCCAAATTGAAAAGGTGCTTATTTAATTGATAGTGACCAGTATACAGTCCTGTCACATGCCTAATGGTATTCCTGTCCGTTAGAACAAGTGAATTACTTCTCTTATGACAAGGCCTTACCTGGAATAACTTGGAATGAGTTTGTTTCCTAGTCTATTCCCAGTGTAGCATAAATTTATTGCCCAAGATTGCCTTTTGGCAAAGGCAAGGCTTATCCCACAAATAGGCTCTGCTGCAATCGGCACTTGTGCCGAGCCTTTCCTAGGAAGGTAATCGGCTTTCTCATTTCTTGGAATGCCTGAGTGCCCAGATACCCATTCTACCCTCACCTTGTTAGTAATATAAAGAAGGTTAAGATTGCATAACTATTCAGGGCCCAATTACCGCCTGACTATCTATATATATTGTTATCAATCTATTCACAATGCCCTCCCTTTTAAGCGATTGAGCACAGAAGTCGATAGCAAGAATCTCATCTTGAAAGGTGGACGTATATCTACCTAGAGATATAAATATTTCCTCATTAGGTTTATCTTTTCTTCAGATGCCGGCCCCTGATCGTTGCTCAAGAATCCGTCAGTATAACAGTCTAACTCCATTACATGGTCTATGTGAGTTATTTCTGCCTATCTTCAAATTATGTAATATATCTTTATAATTATCAACTTGGAGGTCAGATTTCTTCGCAAGCAGCTCATTGCTATCAATCTTATCAAAAACGATCCCATGACCCTAAAACTTTAGGAGTTTCGATCTTGTTCCCAGTTTATCCAATCTTTAGGTAGTTCTGAGAGCATGTGCTTCCACCTCTAAATGCAATGGTGTCAGATTCAAAAGAACCTCCATTGCAGTAGTGGGAGTAGTTCTCATAGCTGTCCTATGCCGCCACACTACAGTTGCATAGAGGATTAAGGATCTAATCGCAGTCCTCTATAGCCATAAGGCCATGCTGGGCTTCAGCCCCCACGATTTGCCAACAACTCTTCTGCATGCGCATAAACAGCATATAACGTTACCACTAATCTTTTCAATATGATTTAGCCAGTTCAACTTACTATTTAAAGGTATCCCAAGATGATGTTTTACTTCACTACAAATTTTTAATGTTGACCCATTTAATGATGGTGGTCTAATGTTAATATTCCTTCTGTTAGTGTACATTCAGAGATTTATCTTCTGCAGGTTTATGCACAGTATTTTCAAGCAGTCCAGAGATAGTATCTGGAAATTGGTCCCCTATCAATATAGAAATATCGTCAGCTCTGAGAATAAAACCCCACCACATTCAATTTAACAATCAGGGAATCGACGACCAAACACCACAGGAGTGGAGACAGCAAACCCCCCTGTGGACACCCTCCAACAGGTTTAAACCACAGTACAGATAGTCCCAGCTCAGATTTAAGTAAGGACTCTTCCTCTCACAACCAAATTAATCCATTCTGAAGCCAAGAGTCCGATCCCTGTACTTTCCAAAGCTCTAGCCATTGTGTCATTTGGGATACGATCAAAGGCATCTTCAATATCAACAAAGATACCCACCATAATGTCTTTCTGCGATAGGCTTTTCTCGATTCTAGAGACTAAATAATGCAATGCTGTCTCACAGGATTTGCCATCTTGATAGGCGGAATTGGGCAGAGTGTAACGGTCTTTCTACTAATGTATATTCCCGAATGTGTCTATCCGTGATGTTTTCCAACGCCTTCAACAGAAAAAAAGTCAGAAAAATAGGTCTGTATGCTTTGGGATTGTCATAAGACTCTTTCCCAGGCTTAGGTATATAGCAAACTCTTGCTTCCCTCCACTTATTAGGGAAAAATGCAAGTGCTAAACTACCCCTAAATAACTCCAAGAGATAGGGTTTAATTACTGGTAAGCCCTTTTGTAGCAGGGTTGGGAAAATCCCATCAGTACCAGCTGATTTGAATGGTGCAAAAGAATTAATTGCCCATTCAACTCTCCTAGAGTTCACAATTCTTTTTGATTCAACCCACTTATCTTTGCCATAGGTGTAACTATCCATAACGGGATTAACTATATGCTCATTTAGCATTAGGCAGCCAGGAAAATGGACATACACCAGAGCCTTCACAGTATCTTACCCAGAATAGGTGCTATCTCCTTCAACCCTGACCACACCAATGACCGAGCCATCTGCTTTGATATGATTTTATGGACTCTAGACATGGATGATGTGTTATTTATATCACTAAAGAAGTTTCTCCAGGCCCCCTTTTTGCCCTATGCATGGCCTTATTGTATTCAATAAGGGCATGCTTATAGATATCCCATCTGCCCCTACGATTGGCAGCATTAAAGAGTTTTCTAGCTGAGGCTCTTAGCTTGCCAAGTTCATAATTCCACCAGGAGACATTCCTGTTGAATCTAACGCGACTGACACAGTTATTGTCAATGTAAGACCTCATAATTACCTCAGATAATGAGGAGTTGAGGCATTCCAAATGCCAAGAATTCCTAATGATCTTAGGACAGCATTTGACTTCTTCCTCGAGCTGCATGCAATACCTCACTAAATTAGTGCGTTTTTGGTTTCTGTATACAGACTCAGTCACATTATATCCAGACACATTGAATTTGATATAACGGTGATCAAAGCATGATTCTTCAACAGAGACAGGCAATCCCCTTGTCCTAGAACTCAAGCAACGCATGCCTATTGTTATGTCTATTACTAACGGGCAGATTCTATCAACAAATGTGGCAGCATTGCCCCTATTTAGAATCTCAATGTCGAAGCTATTTAAATACTCTAAAAAAGACTCACCTCTCTGGTTGTTCTTAGTGCTTTTCCAGATCTTGTGATGAGCATTGGCATCCAGTGCTGTTATCACTGCTTCTTTCTCCATCCTTTCCCCCAAGCTTCTTAGAGCTGCTGAAGGGATGTCCTCTTCACAGGGGAGATACACTGCTGCCACTATGATCCTCTCCCCATCCTTAGCTTAACTCTAACTTTCAATCAAGTATCAAATGAGTATAAACTATTCAAGTATTACAATTTCCATTGCTACTTTACTTACCACTTTATCATTTAATTTAGAGAAGACTTTTCATTTTTGTATTATTAGCTTACCATTAAGGATTTAATTTCCTTTAACTTGACCTTATAATTTAAAAGTTTTAGTCCTTGAGTTTTAATTGATATTTTGCCTTTTTTATTATTACTATTAATTTCCTTGTTTTAATTAATTTACTTTTTAGGACGATGTTGCTGAAAGAAGTTGTATAACCATTGAGATAGAAGGTAAACTGATAAGGTAATTACTTACTTGTGCTATTTGCAATAAAAAAAATAATATATAGCATTTCCAAGTCAATTTCAACCTTTTCCAAGTCAAATTCAATCTTTTCCAAATCAAATTGAACTTTTTCCAAGTCAAATTCAACCTTTTCCATTTCAAATTAAACCTTTTCCATTTCAAATTAAACCTTTTTTTATTTATTTAATTATCTTTAATTTTTCGATGTGTGGGTCTGTTATCGTATGAGTAGTTTTATAAAATAACCTCCATTTTAAGATGACGTGACTGCATTTCGAATTATTTAAGTTCTTTTGATTTATTCGATATAAGGGTGTATTTTTATGTTTCCCAATCCGTAAATTTTTAAAATGACATCCATTTTTATGTTTACGCCACTGTATTTTGACTTATTTAAGTTTTTAGAATTTATCCAATGTAAAGGTCTACTTTTATGTTTCTTGATCAGTAGATTTTGAAAATGACCTCCATTTTATGATTACTCCTCTGCGTGTTAACTTACTTAAGTTTTTCAAATTTATCCAATTTAAATGTCTACTTTTATGTTTCCAGTGCCGTAGATTTTGAAAATGACCTCCATTTCATGATTACGCCATTGCATTTTGACTTATTTAAGTTTTTAGAATTTATCCAATTTAAAGGTCTACTTTTATGTTTTCGGAACCGTAGATTCTGAAAATGATCTCTATTTTATGATTACGCCACTGCGTTTCAACTTATTTAAGTTTTTAGAATTTATCAAATATAAAGGTCTACTTTTATGTTTCTGGAGCAGTAGATTTCCCCCATTTTTTTAATTACTCCATTTCAAGTTTATGCCACTGTGTTTTGGATTATAAAAGTTTTTTTTTTATTTTTTCGATATAAGGATCTACTTATATGTTATCGGATACGTATTGAAATTTTTCTAAACTTTAATATTTAAATTTGTATAATATTTAATCTCTATTTTATAATCAAGCTGCTGCATCTCGATTAATTAGGCTTCGTTTTGGATTTTTCAATACAATGCTTCATCAATATGTTTTCGAGTATGAATAAATAAATAAATATTATGAAGCTAAAGTTAAATTAACCACAGAATACAAACTAAAAAGCCGAAAAGCAACTGGTATTAAATTTAACCTACCGTATTCAGATTTTTCAGCTATTTGTTCGAAATCTTATAATTTTGTTACAGGAGGCCACAACATTAAAAAAGATAACTAAAATTAAATTAAAAATAAGACAATACATATTTTATTTATTTCGATTAGATATTTTTATTTATTTATTGAAAAATAAATGAATCCTTCGTATTTTGTTTTTTATTCGAAGGAAAAATCAAAAACACTTTAAAAAACCGAAACACAGTGGCCTAATCTTAAAATGTAAGTCGTTTTCAAAATCTACGGCTCCGGAAACATAAAAGTAGACCTTTATATTGGATAAATTCGAAAAATTTAAGTAAGTCAAAACGCAGCGGCGTAATCATAAAATGGAAGTCATTTTCAAAATCGACAGCGGAAACATAAGAATACACCCTTGTATCGAATAAATCAAAAAACTTAAATAAGTCAAAACGCAGTGGCGTAATCTTAAAATGGAAGTTATTTTAAAAACTAGGTACAGGACAGCATAATACTAGTCCCTAATAAATCCGAATAGGTACAATAAATCGATATCCGTAAGTGAAAATTTTACTTAGGAGAGCATAATAATAGACTTTCATATTGGAGGGGGGGAGGGGATGGCCATTATTTTTTAAAAAATATAAAATTTACAAAAAAATAAAACATTAATTTGAAATGAAAACGGTTGAATTTGAATTGGAAAAGGTTTAATTTGAAATGGAAATGGTTGAATTTGACTTGGAAAAAGTTTAATTTGATCTGGAATAGGTTGAATTTGACTTGGAAAAGGTTGAATTTGACTTGGAAATAATTGAATATGGCATAGAAATATTACACTGAAAAAATCTAAAATGTTAAAATAAATGGATATGCAACCGCGGATAAAGTTACCCATATTGGGGAGCAAAATGTGGATCGAATTATGATTTTTTTTCTTTCTTTGGCTCAAAACACTGCGACCCTTATGGATCTATTGTGCGCCGTGTATGCAGTCCGTTTTATTCCTAAAATGTTAGTTTAGTTGTTTCCGCCTATCTGAATAGGCTTATCTGATTAATAGACTCGTAGCTACTGGGGTAATCCACTCGTTTCTCCCCAAATAGCTCTGGTCTAAGCCTTGCAAACTTATCACATCGTCAAAAAATGTGAAAGGCTGTTTCATTCTTCTCCTGACAGAATCTGCATAGCGGGTTCGTGGTCATTTGGAGATTGAACTTGTGAACTTGCAGTGGCCAGTGTATATCGCTGTAAGTTTTTTGAGAGCTGCTCTGCCAAACTCATTAGCAGCTTACTTCTTTTATCACATGGGCCTTTAAAACTTTATTTTTGAAGTTTTATGGAGGAACCTCTCTCCACAGAAAATCAAGCCATATATTTCCAGTAATACTTCACAATTGTGATATTGTAAAGGGGTATTAAAAATCTTATATACAAATCGTTGTTCACTTTGGAATCTCCCAGCGCCTATAAGTTTTGCAGAGCGAATTGACGATTAAAATGTGTGTAATGTCTGTATACTGTATCAGTACCAGGCTCGGAATTTAATCGAATGGTTTGATAATGAAGAGATATCACCTGGAAACATGTTTAAACTCCACTGCTTCCAAAATTACTGTTTTTACTCCATTTGAAGTATAGAACTTATTGCACATATTGTAATTCATATTGCGTCATTGCATTTCTATAGGGATATGAAATAAAGCTATAAATATGGTTCTATTTTACACTCGGTTTTGAGAATAGTATTTAATAACACCAAACAATATTACTTTTAGAGAGGTACAAATGTTACTAAAAATATAGTATGTAATACATATTAATAATTTAACTGCTACTTGTGAATATAGTATATACTATTTATATAATAATAATAAAGCCTTTTATTAAGTCCATAGCTCGACAAAGCAACAAATTAGAATAAATTATAATTTAGATCAGACTAATATTAAAATTAATTTAATAAATCAAATTACAAACAAATCCATTCAAGAAATCCTTATGTGAGCTTGAAAATAATAGGCATTCCCTAAGGGAGTATAGTTCTAGATGTTGCCAGGTGACCAGCCTACTGGGAAGCCGAGATCGCAATCTGGATCCACTTCTCTTTCCAGGCATCTCCATCTCTTGCCAATCTCCACCATTATGGTCCAGCCATCTTCCTAAAGAAGATCATTTTGTAACAATAGGGTGTTTGTAACAAACAGACACTTCCATTGACCATCTTTTATCCGCTCTTCTTAAAAGGTGCCCTGCCCATTTCCATTTTTTCTTCTTGGCATTTCAGACCAGTCTTCTCTCTGATGACACAACTTCTAAACTTCTCCTTCTTCTTTACGTTAGTCATGTTTCTTTCCAATGATCTTTGCCAGGTTATCAGTTTTTTTGATTCGGCTTTAGTTAAGGTCCAAGTTTGATTACCAAAGAAGACGGCAGGGAGTATTCAGGTATCAATACAGGTATAATTTAATACTATTTATATAAAAATAAATAAATACTGGATAATATAAAGATTTAGAGCAGAAAAATATGAAAGTTGAATTTTTTTGTAAAATCTCGGAATAAAATTATAATTGCTCTAACTTTTGAAGAGTTTAAGATAAGACAGTAAAATAATATATATTATTGATAAAAATTGATTGCTTAGCAACTTTCTTCCTGTAAAATGAATCGAAAAAAAGTTGACTAGTAAAACAACGAGCATGAGGAAAATGCACCATGTATGCAGTCTGTCTAAATTTTTTGCTACGATGCATGGTTTTGGCGTAGGGATGTGGAGACCCCATCGCCCAGTCACGTGACTGCAATCAGCCACTGGTCCTCCAGGTTGGGGAAACAATAACTCCAACACTCAAACAGTACACCATATACAGCACACTACATACACCACACATTAACATTCAAAGGTCATCAACAGTACACACCCTAGCGTCACCTTCCCTAGGTAGCCTAAAAGTCCCAGACGGGGGAGTGTGTTAGGATGCTCTAAGGAGGCAGGGCTGATAACCCCCTCCCCTTAAATTTAATTATTATGAAGCCCGTACAGAGACAAGCGGGACTGAACCTAAGGCAACGACACGGCACCCGTCTAATGGATTTTAAACTTGGAACATGGAACACTATCCCGACCGGGAGCTCTGGATCAGCTCCTATCACAATTGGACCGATATAAAATAGACATTGCTGCGATCCAAGAAATAAGGTGGACAGACCAGGGAATATTTAACAAGAAAAATCATACTATCTATTACAGCTGTCATGATCATCTGCATACCTATGGATCGGGGTTCATCATCAATAAGAAGCTGCTGGCTCAGCTCGTTGTTGGATTTAATGTTATTTCTCCCCGAATATGCTACCTCAGAATGAGAGGTAAATTCTATAATTTCAGCATTATGAGCATCCATGCACCAACAGAGCCAACGGAGGAAGACGAAAAGGATCGTTTTTACCAAGATCTTGAAAGAAGCATTGATAGTTGTCCGAAAGCTGATGTCAAAATTGTGATCAGGGACTTCAATGCCCGAATAGGAAAAGAACCTCAATACAGACCCACAATAAGTCTACACGGCATTCACAATGTCACAAATGAAAATGGTCAGAGAACCATAAACTTTGCAGCCTCAAAAGATTTGGTGGTGGGAAGCACGAGGTTTCCCCATAAAAGGATTCATCTGGCAACTTGGCGGTCTAACGACGGTATCACTTGCAACCAAATAGAACATTTATTGATGTCCTCTAGACACATTTCAAGTCTACAGGATATCAGGGTTTACAGAGGGGTAAACATCGACTCTGATCACTACTTCACAATCGCCTGGATCAGAGCGCGAATTTCAATTGTGCGAGTCCAGCAAAGAACACAACAAGCCAGGTTTAACGTGGAGG